GATCTCCCACACACACACACACACACACACACACACACTATGTTTCTCTATCCTTGTGGGGACTTTCCATTGACTTCCTTTCATTTACTGGTCTTTTTATAGCCTTACCCTGACCACTTACTCTAAAGTTAACCACTCCAGTACATATCTGACCATAAATTTAGCATAAACTTAAATGTTCCTAAACCTAACACCCCACCCAAAATCAGCCTCCAAAGTTGTGGGGACCGGGCTTTGGTCCCCACAAGGAGCATTTGGTCCCCACGAGGCTACATTTTCCTGAAAAATCATTCCCACCAAGTAGAAAAAAACATGCCCCCCCCCCACCCCATATTTGTATTTATGTCCTTATTAGGACCAGTCATTGACTTCCGTTGATTTCCAGTATTTTCTATAGCCTAACTCTGACCATTTACTCTAAAACTAACCTCACGGGTACCTAACTGACCTTAAACTTAACAACTGACACCTTGTTCTTTGGGGAAAGATAAAGTTGATTTCACAAATTAATTTGATCATTTCATAACCTTTTCTGATTCACTGAAGAAAAATATAAAACATGGACATTCAGTTTTTGGAGTCACCTTTAAAGTAGCCTTTACATGGTGCTAAAGAGGTCAAGTTGTTGAGTTCTAAAATCTTTTTCAAAGTTCTTATTGGTTGCACTTATAGCCCAAAATTATTAAAACAACATCCTAATGATGATCAAAATATGATGTCTGTCCGTAAATAACGTGCGGTGGTGTTTTCTACATATTTTATTATCAAGAGGCTGTCCTGTTAGTGTTCAGCCAATAGACTTTAGGGCATTTTATCAAAGGGGCCAACCCACTTGGATAATGATAGGGGAAATGCTGGAATAAAATAGGGTTTGACAAATCTTATTGCCCGACTGCCCGGGGCAGGTYCAACCCATATTCTGGCAGGTGGGTGTGTCCTGATGCCTGCCTGACCYGGCAGGTAAAGCATTTCTTTATTTTTTCATGGGGCCATTTATTCGAAATATTCTGAAAATAAACGAAGAAATATAGCATTTTAAAACACGTAAAAAGTGAATAAATCCTCAGAATTTCCCATGTCCCGCTGTATAAAAGTTACATCTTGCAGTGTGTCGTGGGATAATCTCTCCCTCCCTCCCGCTGCACATTGCGCAGAGCAAAGCATTAACCATAGTTTTTTCACATCCAAGTTGTCGCAGAAAAAACTTGGTTTTTATGGGGTTTTTTACCCACAGAGATGAAAAAATATGTTGTTCAGTCATAAATCCATCTTGCTAATGTCAGCTTGTGCTCTGAGAGCACAGCAGAGCAGTGGGTCAGTTCAACATTGTTCATTGTATGGCAAGCCGACATT